CTTCATATGTGACTTCCAATTTATCCCACATCTCCATAGCAGTTTCACAGCTTGAGATCTTTTCATATTCTTCACCACAGATAGCATTGTACACAAATTTTTTGCTTTGGCATTTACAGTTATGACAACAGCTTGCTCATCAGTGTAATCACCCAAGTCAAGTGGATCAATGGACACTATAACTTGATCATTTTCGTCTTTCCTTGGGGGAATTGGAAGATTTTCCTTTTTGATCACTCGCCAGACTTTGATGTCACAAGACATGGTGTTTGTTTCCATACGCACCTTCCAATGAGAAAAATATTATCCATTAAAGTATGATGATCGAACTTAAGAAGTTTCCTCTTGAAATAGTGCACCAAAGAGTGTGTTTGATCCCATGATTTTTTCCTCACTAGCTGTTAAGCAAAGTTTGTGAGCCTTGCTCTGATACCAATTGAAAGTACAAGAGGGGGGGTGAATTATGGTATGTTAAAAAATTAGTCGACTAACGGTGATTTTAGTTGACTAGATCGAGAGCAGAAATAAAGTGACAGCAAACAAATAGAGAAAGACACCCTGCAATTTTATACTGGTTCGGCACCGGTGTGGTACTTACATCTAGTTTCCCTTGGGTCGCAAGGGTTCCTTTTAAATCTTGAAAGAATTACAACAGGGATGATTTTGATTCATTCACCACCAACGAAGTACAGTAATCAGTGAATCTTAATAATGACACAACTCTCTTTTGTGTTCTAACTCTTCCTATCTTTTGAGACACTGATAAACTTCAGATTACAGTGTTTAGGCTAAGAAGTAGAGAGACGTAGAAGACAATGTGTGTAGTTGCGTAAGCCTTCCAATTGAACCAAGCAGCCTTCTTATAGAAGAGGAAAATAGTCGTTGAGTCTTGACCAGAAATAGAGGCACGAGATCTTTAAAAGGATTTGACCCAAGGGGTGCCTCTTCGAATTCTGCTCTTTGGGAAAGACCAAATTCGATCGTGACTTTCCTTTGTTGCAGCTTTCATTTACGAGACAATCAATCATTTGACTGGGCTTTAATTGAGGAAGCTGAATGTGGGAATAACTTCTTGATTGGAATTTGATTGCCTTGAATGAGACCGAGTAGATCAGCAGGCTTTTGGTTCCTTCTATAGGTCCATTGATTTAGCGATCACACCTTTAGATAGCTTCTCATTGCTTTTCTTTCCTTTTGATGAATCCTGCGAAATAGAATAGTTGAACATTGTCATCATTAAAACCTTGAAATTTAACTTAACATTTGTATATAGCACAAATGCCTGAATAATTATAGGCTCTTGAAAAGCTATGCAGTGATTCAATTCACTATACAATTGGAATTGAGAATGTGTTCATATGCAATATATCTTTTTTCTTAACATAGGGTTCAGAGAAAGGCCACAACCTAAGTAGGTAATAGTGTAAAAAGCCTACCCTAATGCAGGCATTAGTGGTTGCTTTCACGGGTCGGACCCCTAACGTACAGGTCACCCCCTTCCAATAGACTAAGAAGTGTTACCAAATTTTGGCTTTAATGACAATGTTAGAATATGAGCTTCCAACACAATTTAAAACAATGAATTAAGTTAACTCAAGCCCTTTACTAAATTGTGAGATACTCCTTTAGGATTGAATCCATCGTTCTATTTGTATTTGAAACGGAAAAGGGTCAAATATGTCCTTATACTATTGAAAAAGGTTTAATATTACCCTCCGTTATACTATCAGTCCAAATATACCCCTAACGTCATACTATCAGTCCAAATATATCCCTGACATCATGAAAGTGGTACAAACCTACCCTTCCTCCGTTAATTGCCTTCCCTATGAACACATTTTATTGCTACCTCACCATTTCACCCTGTTTGCAGCTACCAAGTTCAATTACTTTAAAGTTCTATCATTATTTTGAAGACTTCACTACCTCTACTTCCTCTTGCTTTTCAAAATACTTGTTGCTTCTCCGGCCGATACTGGAATTGTACGTACCTTTCACTTGACCTTACAATTTTGTGTTTTGTTTTGCTTTTCCTTGTTTTGTCGCTGAATCTGTAAGACGTATTTAGGGAAAATTTAGTACCACTTTTATTTTAATATAAAACGTAAAGAGAGAAAAAATGGTAGCCTTCCAGAAATGTGGTTGAAGAGAAAGAAACAAAAAAAAAATATTAACTCTCGTGTCTAGGTTGTTTTTCTTTCTTACCATTGTCAATTTTGAAACCTTAAACTTTTGCCTGTATCTTTGCTTAGTTTGTTATATAAAACAAAATGTATTTACATCTGTATAAGCATTAATTTTGAATAGCAAAATCAGAATTTTCTCGATTCACATTGTTTCATATTATCTTTAGTTGTTAGCATTTCGTTTGATATAGTTTGTTTGTATATCTATGATCTGTGATTTTTCTTCAGATGAACGGGAAAGAAAGGTTGTGGGGAAGGGATGAAAATGGGAGTATAATGGTGAGGTGGCAATGAAATGTTGCAATAGGGAGGTAGTTAATGGAGGAAGGGTAGGTTTGTACCACTTTTATGATGTCAGGGATATATTTGGACCGATAGTATGACGTTAGGGGTATTTTTGGACTGATAGTATAACGGAGGGAAATATTAAACCTTTTTCAATAGTATAGGGGTATATTTGACCCTTTTCCATATTTGAAATGATGGACTTCTTCTTTGATAAAAACATGAAAATTTGTTTTCAAAGTTTCCTTTTTAAGTCCAAAGAATTCATTCTTCCCTTTGCAATAAAAGCATTTAGAAGTGAAATCAACTTTCTGTTGGGGTTGTAGGGACACCATTTTCATCCCTTAGATTTTCAGCCGCATATCTTTTGATCTTCAAACAAGTTGCTCTTTACTTTTTGGAACTTTAGATATTATCGTGACAAATCATGTTCACACAATTGTCAAAAGGGAAAAGATAAGCTGGCTATTCAATAGTCAATTCAGAGAGACAGAGAAGAAAGAAATGGCTGAAGCTATTCCAAGATTTACTTGGAACACCAAATTCTCAAGCTCTTGTTCCATTTCTCGTCTCTCTCCTAATTTCCATCTCCTTCCCACCAATACCAAGAGATCACAACAGCTAAATAATGGCAATTCCAATTCTAATTCCAATTCAAGAATTCGATGCGAAGCAGTGGGCGTGGAAGGAGCAAAAACAACCCCAACACAGATCAAGAAACCGATAAACCGATATGAAATGGTTAACTTGACAACATGGTTGTTGCGGCAAGAACAAGCAGGAAATATAGATGCAGAATTAGCCATAGTTCTTTCAAGCATATCGTTAGCCTGTAAGCAAATTGCTTCACTTTTACAAAGGTCAAGTATTGTTAACCTTACTGGAGCTCAAGGCACTGTTAATATCCAAGGTGAAGATCAGAAGAAACTTGATGTTATATCCAATGAGGTTTGTTGCTTTTTTACCTCCCAACAATTAGATTATTTTAATTTTAGTGCACTGAAAAATGATGTTTGAGTTGTTGTAGTTGTTCTGTAATTGTTTAAGATCAAGTGGAAGGACAGGAATTATAGCATCAGAGGAAGAAGATGTACCAGTTGCAGTTGAAGAGACTTATTCTGGAAACTATATTGTAGTGTTTGACCCCATTGATGGATCTGCTAACATTGATATTGCCTTAACAACTGGATCAATATTTGGAATTTATGGTCCAGATCAACTATGCCTTGTAGATATGGATGATGATTCCACGGTAATTCTCTCACAATTTTAACATGAAACTTAGGTTTAACAACTACGCCTCAATCCCATGCAAGTTGGGATCGGCTGTATGAAATATCATTTCTATTGTTGCTTTTCATCTTCTTCAGCCCAGAGGCTACCGGAACACTCTCTCTGCCTTCTAAGGGTAGGGGTAAGGTCTACGTACACACTACCCTTCCTAGACCCCACTAGGCTTGTTGTTGTTGTACGGGCATCTAAGAGGAAACTTAAATCACCCAGAAAAAGAAGTCTTGTTTCTTCTTAACATGAGGAGCTTTTGGATTAATTTGCATCTCATGTCCAATAATTCTTGGATTTTCAGATAGACCAAGCCAGGGAGAAGTGTATCGTTAGCGTTTGTCAGCCAGGGAGCAATTTAGTAGCAGCAGGATACTGTCTTTATTCAAGTTCAGTGGTCTTCACACTTTCAGTAGGAAATGGAGTATATGCATTTACTTTAGATCCAGCATATGGAGAATTTGTTTTGACACATGAAGATATCAAAATACCAAAGGCAGGAAGAATCTATTCTTTTAATGAGGGAAATTATGATCTATGGGATGAGAAATTGCAGAATTATCTTGACCACTTAAGGCAACCAGGTCCAAATGGCAAGCCATATTCAGGCCGTTACATTGGTTGTCTTGTGGGTGAAATCCACAGAATGTTATTGTATGGTGGTATTTATGGTAATCCTAAGAACAAGAACGCCAAGAAGGGGAACTTGAGGCTCTTGTATGAGTGTGCTCCAATGAGCTATATCATAGAACAAGCCGGTGGCAAAGCGACAGATGGCACCCAAAGGATACTGGATATCATGCCTGAGCAGGTAAATTTGAGAACCTCTATTCAAGGAGAGCAAATTCAGATTCTTTAACAACAATATGGTTGAAGATTGAATTTACACTTGGTTCACAAATGATGTAATATAAGGAATGGTTCAAGTATCATAATAGTGTATTTTTTCTCCATGAGTCCAAAGGACCTTAATTACTTTTCTTTGTTGCAGATACATCAACGGACGCCTATTTTTATTGGAAGCCCAGAAGAAATTGAGAAGCTGGAAAAGTACCTTGCCTGAGAGCTATCCAATTTCATTTCATCCGATGAGATGCAAGTTATGTACAATAGATATTTTAGTGTATCAAACACACAAAATGTACCTAGAGGCTTCTCTGTTACTCAAATCCATTACTAATGAAAGAATAGTGAATCTTAAAAAGGTCATTCTATTGGGTTTCATGAATCAAGTCAGCTGTGATGAATTCTAGCATGTCAGCTTCCCTATCCATCTGTCAAAGAATTTAGTCAATTTCTTGCACACGAGTTCTAATTTCTCGAGCTTCTGTTACTCTTAACTGCAAAGACGATAAAGATATAGAATCAATTAGTCTTATGGACTCTACTAGCTGTTTATACAAAATAAAAAGATAAAGCTGAAAGTGAAGCAACTACCACTTACCAGGACTTACAAGCTGGACACGCTTGGTAACAGATTTCACGGTTTTCACAGTATCTGAACCTGAACAATCAATGACAAAATTGAAAACCATTATCATCACTTTCACAGAAAAGAAGTTCACATCAAATTGCATAGTCAAAACTTTTCTTTTACCTAGCAAACTTGTATCTTTCTCCGAAAAGACTTCAGTAACTGTCGATGAAATCTGTGATGTAACTTGGTTTTCATCATTTTTGACATTTCCAGACTCATATGGTGACCTGTGCATTAAACATAAGATGGCAATATATTAAGGATGCAACAAGAAACCTTTCTTCATAGACAAAAAAGCAAGAACTTTTACCCTGAAAATGAATCTGGAGAAAAGTCCAGTTTGTCCAGGCAAGAATAATCAATCCCTTGTTCATCAATGTCAAAATCACGCAGCAGTTCAGAAAAACTAAAATTTGCACCCAGAGCATCTAAGTTAGGAAAATCCAAGTCAAAAATATCTCCTTCCTTCTCAGACTCAGATGTCGAAATCATGTCAGGAATTTGTGGCATCTCTGAACAACTTGGAATATCTGAGGCATCAAAATCCAACCTACCTTTTACTTGATCTCTCTTCACAGGCCTCTTCAGGTTTGCTTTAACTGGTGAAGAATTCGAAACACAGTGATTTCTTTCTATGGAATAGTATGCTATTTGTTTGGTGGGGGTCACTTGAATTGTCTCTGAAGAGATGACCATGCGGTTAGTCGACATTAGATGAGAGGGAGTAGCTTCTTTGCTGAAAGTTGCTGTTGAACAAATATCTGGTGGAGAGATAGTTTTATCAATTTGGGATGAAGATTCTATTGGAGGTGTCTTAGGACCAGCAGAATTAGTTACAAGGGACTGAATGGGGTGGTTGAACAAATACTTGTCAATGTTAGATCCTTGGACTTGTGACTTGTTTGGTTCATCAATGGGATCTGATAACTGAACTACAGAGCTCCTCATAACATTGTTGTACTGATTGGTGGGCGACCGAGTACGAGATTTCTTGGCAGCTGTGGAAGCATATGAAACATCCTTGGACCCTTTTCTTTTTGAAGTTGTTGGGATGGAATTTGGAGAAGAAAATTTCATGGTATCTACGGCAGTGTTGGAAGGCATTGATGCTGACATAAGAGCTGAACCAGAACAATAACCTGATAAATTTTATAACAATAGAAGTCAGTGCTAGAAAGCATGTAATACTATGGATCTAAGGAATTGATTGTTTCCTGATGCAATGGATAATGGATTATTATCGTATCTAGGAATGATGCGAATTCAATCCTGTCCGATTAATAATGGTGCTATATCCCAATCTTTTCTTCAAGGGCCCGCACTTTTATCTGTGAATATATGTCCACTCCACAACAATAAGACAAGCGCGCTGAACTTTATTGAGGAGCCAAATTCAGTGAGTAAGACATCAGATAAATTTCTTACAGCCTATTATTGCAATGGACTAATTTGACTATCACATCAGTGTACATAAAACAAAGACTTCTTTGTGTTAAAATAAACTCTGGTTGAGTGAAATAGTTAAAAGAAGAAGAAAATCAAACTTAAGTTCATCAGTGATAAATGTAAAACCACAATACACATTTCAGTCTAGATATGAGGTGGTAGCTACTGATACAAGCATAATACAAAGACAATAGGAAACATCATAATAAGTGCGCCTATAACATCGTGTTTGAAGTTAATACACAGATAATGTGTGACATTATCTTAAGGTCTTAATGATTTATAAATATAAGGCTGTCCCTATATCATATAGCTTTAGTGATGCCAAAATTGGGAATTTGAGACTCAAGGTGGCATATCCTAACTCCTAAGGTCTCAAGGATTTATGTCTATAAAGTTATTCCGATATCATATTTACTCAGGTGATGCCATAGCTGGAAATTCAGGACCAAATAAGTGATTTCCAATCTGAGACCTTGAAGCTCAACAAATTAAATAGTAGTAAACAATCTGAAAAAAAATTATTTTTGTTGGATGCAAACATTGTAGGCAAAATCTTGGAGCAACTAGCTCACAACTGTTAAGCAAACCACTATAACACTATTGAGACAAATATACTAACAAACAGATAAGCAAGTATATATATTATGCTTTGGGGAGGACAGTTAAAAATAAAAATAAACAGACAAAATTGAAACCTGCTGATTTGGGCATTGAAGAAGCAGGAATTGAGGGAGGTGGTGTCACATTTGCACTTGCATTATAAATGTTCATAACACCTTGCATCCCCCTAAGCAAATTCTGAACCTGCATTTTCTCTTGCTCTAAAAACACTTTCTGCTCTTTCAATCTTATGTACTCATCCAACATTGCTCCTAAACTCAATAAACTCCTCGGCGCCTATTCAAAAAATCATAAAACAGAAAAAAAAATCGTTGATTCCTGGGTTCTATATTGAAAGTATGGAATCTAAAATGTACATCTAACACTATATTTAATAGAGTTTAACTTTTGTACATTGACGATGTAAAAATTATTTACACAATCATGTCAATTATTGGATAATTAAGATAAAACTCTTAATAACTGTTACTAATAAGTAATCTGGGGAAAATGGTAAGAACATGCAATCATAGGTTAAAATTACTTGATAGTGCAAAAAACAAAACAAAAAATTAAGTTTAAGCATATATATAACTCAAATCCATAGAGAAATGTGCGAAAAATGTGAAACGGGTACCTCATGGATGGGAGATTTAGAGAGTAGATGTGAAGCTTCGGAGCGAAAAGTGGAGCGGGTTTCAGTGAAATGGTTATCAGAAAGGTAACGGTCGACGATGAAAGCAATTTGGACTGGAGTAACTTTGCCTTTGCCTATGTTTTCAGCTCTTCTTGATTTGCTTTGTTTCGCCATTTTCACTTTCGGCAGATCGTAAGAAGCAGAGATTGGGGAAATGAAACGTGTGAGGAAATTGGGAGGGAAAGTGTATATATTAGTTAGAGTTGTGAATGGGAAGGAGGGAAAGAATGGGAGAACGTGGAGGAGACGACAATAAGCGCGGGACTATTCGAAAAGTGGTAAAATAGAAAAGGGCGGTAAAATAACAAAAGAGTAATTTATTGTTAGGGCCTATGGTATAGTCATAAATATAGGTGAAATTTTCATATTAGTCTCTTTAAGTTTGTTGATTTTAATTTGGTGGGTTCAATTTTTATGTTTTACCACTATACCCATTGCATATTAAAAATTAGGGAAACTACTAGCTATGTTCATTTATAAGTAGCTCATTACAAAAATTGGTCAATTCATAAAATATTACTAATATTAGCCAAATACTACTAATATTAGCCAATTAGCTATTTGTAGCAAAATTAGGTCAAATTTTTGCTCTCTTTTGAGTGGGTGCCATTAGAATAGATTGGGTACATCTTAAAAAACTCAAATCTCAGTTTTGGGATGATTTGGTGAAGTTTTGAGGTGGTTTGAATTGAAAATTCGAAGTAAAATCGAACATGAAAAAAAAAAATGATATGTGTATCATACTGTATATCATTTGTGTATCACATATATATCATATTTGTATCAATTATGTATCACATGTATATCCATGTATACTTGTGTGTGAGATACATGCGTGATACATGTGTCGCATAAGAACTTTTTTGAACTCGATTTAATTACGATTTTTGATACAAAATCAGTCCAAATCACCTCCAATCTTCCTCAAATTTTGTATATTGACTTATTATATGTTTTCAATGAATTTCAACTATACCCATTGAAAAAAGTTCCTTTTTTGCTTAGATTTTTGGAATATTGTATTTTTTTTAATTTCATCACCTTATTTGCTACCTCATCCATAAAAGTTCCTTTCGTCTTGCATCTAATGTTGCTAATCACGCTTAAAAATATGGAAGGAGATTTTTGCATGTGATTCTTTGAGATAAAGAACCTTATTTATTTTATTTTCCAATTTTTATATGTGCTTGGCTAGTTTTGGTAAGTTTATGACTAATGGCTAGAGGTTAGTAAGTTGAAATTTATATGGGACATTTGTGTAAGTTTCCCAAAAAATTATAGATTCAAAAAATATACTAATATTTATTGAAATTTTGATGATCTTCACATATTAAAATTATGGGTGCAGTTGAACCCGTAACTCACGAGCTACATCTGCCTTTGGTTGTGTCACATCCTTTTTAAGGTTGAGGTATCACTTATCATTTCTTGCTTCTTCTTTTTTTCTTTTTGTAGTGAGATTGAATTCGCACAAAAATATTTCAGAACTAACCTTGTGTAATCTAAATTATCGAATGCTAAATTTTGTGAAACAAATGTCCTGCTTAATTCTTTTTATGTTAAACAGTTTTGTGTTAGACTATTTACGTCTTTTTGATGATAAGATGTGGTAATAAAATTAAGTTTCTCGTACAATTTTAATATAATTCAATGATGCTGGCATAAGTTAGATTGAAGTATAAGATTTTTTTTTTCATGTATACGAAATGTTACATCTAAGCCAAGATACTACGGTGAGACCTCTCTATAGCAGCATCTCTTTATAACAACATTTCATTATAAAAGCCAAGCTTTTTCAGAATCATTTGTTATGTTATGTTATAATATGTGTTCTCTATCACAGTACTTTACTATAACATCAAAATATATTCGGAACAAATGAGGCCGTTATAAAGAAGTTTGACTGCATACGAATCTGGAAATAAGTTTAACAATAAAAATTGCAAATAAAATTCACCTATTACAAGAGTGAAAATTCAGTGACTTCTTATACGAATTATGTTTGCTTTGTGGAGATGAAAATAAATGTATAGTGATAGACTGAGATCGCATATGTTCATTCGTATCACATCGGACTGCTAGATCTTAATTTTAAAACCAATATGATACTCTTAATTTGATAATTTTGCATGAAAAATACAGCTAAAATTAATTGCCACAACACCCAGTAGTTGATCCTCTGTATACTTAATTCACCTGATATTGTATTATTGTTTAAGCGGGAAAGTGCTTAAAGTACCCCTATCGTATGCTAAATGGTTTATAAAAAAAACCCTCGTCCATCTATCCGTCTGAAAATATATAGGACGTTAAGTCTATTGACAAAATTACCCCGCGACTAACGGCACTTCATGTGGGCCTCTCATTAAATGATGTGGCATTCTTTCATTTGTCCACGTGGCTCAGTGGGGTTGAAATTGTATTTGGGTATTTTCGACCCATTTAACTGATCCGACTCACTCCTTTTATCTTATACCCAGTCTTTTAACCCTATACCCACATATTTTACTCGTCTTCTTCCCCAATTTAGAACCTAGGTCATCAGGTTGCTCATATAATCTTCTTCCCCAAATTTTCTCTTTTTCAACTAATTAATTCTTGTCTTTTTCCTTCGAATCTTGTGGTTGGCTGTAAAAGTTCCGCCTTTATTGAATAACAAAAAATTTCAAATGTCTGAAAATTCTATCTCTCCTGGTTCGTCGCGTCATTGTGGTTGTGGTTTAATTGCAAATCATTTTGTAGCTAAGACTCATTTGAACGGTGGTCGTCGATTCTACAAATGCCCTCGTTTTGATGAGGAAGTTTCATGTGGTTTGTGAGAATAGCGGGATGAAGAGATGCCACCACATGTGACGATGTTAATCCATAACTTGAAAACTTTATTGAAGTCAGTGAAAGTTGAAAGAAATTAACTGAAGAAGATGGTGTCTAACTTGGAAGATGTTGTTTCTGCGAAAGACTGAAAATAGAGAAAATAATTGAAGATATGGAGGGAATTAATTCAGCAAACTTAAAGAAGGTCGCTAGGATGGAGGATAAACTACAAAATATGAAGTGGTTTATTGTGTTTTCTTGGGTTGTCTTTGTGTTGGTGCTAGTTTTCAAGATGATGTAGTGTAATTAGGTTATTTTGTAATTATGTCGATGTTGTAGTTTGCAGATGTTTATCGATTTGGTTCAGATGTTGTAATGCTGCATTTGTAATGGTTCTCTGTTGGTATGAAATGAAGTTTTTTACCATTCTTTTCACTCTCATACAACATTTTGCATAGACGGACAATCACTAAGTCAAATAGAATCATCTCTTATAGATAGACAAGAAGAACATTGTCATTAATCGAGCAGCAAACATATATTGTTTTAAGATTTAAGCCCAGCAAAATATTGCTATTAGACAAGTAAATGTGTTATCCAAAAACCTGTTCCACTATCACAATATTTACTTGTCTAAAAACCTAGAACATGAACAAACATCATGTGTCGAACAGTCATGCAAAAAATGGATTTAAATGTATATTACATTCATCATTCCTTGTTACACTACACCCCTTGCCCCTCTCCTTGCCTCTTCTAGCTTTAAGTTTACCAATCTTTTTCTCTTTCACACCCAATAGTTGAGTTGTTGTCATTGTCTCCTTCCCCTTCCAGGTAGTTCTCTTTGGGGAGTATGCAGTTTTGTTGGTTATGAGCTACCAGTGTGATCACCTGTGAATGGTATCTTCCTAGTCCCAGAATTTTGTTGATTCTTATGTTGAAGTCTAGTCTTATTATTAGAGACAACCTTAGGCCTCAAAACTGGGTCAGCTTCTACACCAAAGTCTGCTTGAATAAGCCTTCTTCTGGTCTAAATATTCTGAGTTGCCTGGGTGTACTGACTGGAGTGCTGACTTGGCATCCGAGTGTAGTGACTGGATTGTTGACTTGGCTGCTGAGTATATTGACTAGATTGCTGACTTGGCATCTGCGTGTGCTGACTGGAGTACTTACTGGACAGCTGACTTGGTTGGCTAGCCTGACTTGGCATTTGTTGGTCTTGTGCTTTAAAACTCGGATTAGGAACCATGAAAAATTTCGATCCTTGGTCCTTAGTTGTCTAAGTGTGGTCTTGCACATTCTTGGACTGTAACTATAACCAAATATATTGTAAGTACAAAAAGCAAATTGTAAGTATAAACAGTAGATTGTAATTATACCTTATTGGCTAATGGACATCTTCTTTTATTATGGTTTGGCTTGCCGCAAAAACTACAAGTCATTTGAAGACCCTTCCTAGATGTTGACCATTCTCCTTGCATTTTCCTAGCTTGATCCTTCTCTCTTAACCTTTTCACTTTAGGTCTGCCAATCATCTTTGCTAATGGTGGCGGTTTCATGGCTTGGTGTGGCTCAACTTTCCAGAATTTTTTACCTCTAACATGTTGTAGTTTGTGCTGATACACCAACTGCCAAGCTTGTTTGGAATACCACTAGTGAATCCCAGGTGTTAAGCTTGTTTCTTATAGTTGAATGCCCTGATAGCATGAGCACAAGGGATTCCAAACAAGTCCCAAAGTGTGCATGTGTACCTTTGTTGCTCCAGAATCACTGTGTACCTGTCTTCACCTTCACTTATTTCAAAACCCCTATCTCCATTGAAAATTTCCTTGCACTTTGAAGCCATCTCTTTATAATCATTGTATAGCTCTATTGCATATGGGTTGTATTCACCTCTCTAACTGCTAACTTCATCTGCTTTATCCTTTAGTTGATTCATCGCCTTCAATTATCAACTAGTAAACAAGCAGTTAGTCAACAGTAGACTATTTAACAAGCAGTTATCAATTAGTAACATTCAAACTAAATCTATCCTCTAAATCAACCTTCATCTCTTTAACCTTAAACTTATGATTATTTTGAATCTTTCTCTTAAAATAATGTGCTAAAGCAGTAGGAGTAGCTATTTTGTTCTGAAAAAGTTCACCGCATTCATGTCCATCCCTTCAAGTTTTTATCTTTACCGCTTGATCTCTGTCATCCTTAGAAATAAGATATTTAAAGGGACACCCAACATGACACTTGTACCTAAGTCTTCTCCTATCACTCTTATCTACCTGAAGGCCCCTCTTATTAGAAACAACATAATAACCAATAACCTCCTCAGCTTCAGCAAGATCTATGAAAGTCATACCTTTTTTCAATGTTTTATACCTATCAAGTTGGTCAGTTACCTCACACTTCTTCTGCCTTTCAAATAAACCTAGGGCATCACTATCATAATCACTATCAACACTTTCAATATATGTATCATCTTCACTACTATCATAGTCAGAAGCTACATCAACATGTACACTATGTGTTGCTGTAAACTAGGTAAATACAGGAACATTTAGAGTATCATCCAAAAGGTCTACTCCAAATAATTGTACATCAATGAAACCATCACTAATTAGAGCTTAAAACTTCCTAATCCCTTCATCCCCATCCAACAAAAAATACCTGCCAGATGGGTCAATAAATACTAACTATTGTACCTCAACAAATTCTATTACTTCAGTGTATTCTTTACACAAATCAATATAAGAGAGGTGGTCTACTTCATAACCACTCAACATGTGCACATCTTTCTTAGCATAAGACAGTATAGGTTCCAATACCCACTCACCCCCAAAATTAAATAAAAGTTCACTTTATCCACCATCCTTCCGAGAAAATCACATGCAACAACCAAAAAAAAGAGGCAAAATGGGACCACATCAGCTGTATTCAGGGCTTAAACAATAAAAATATAAAGATATGAAACCCCAGCATCAATTAACTATACAAATCGACAAAAACCCTACTTTTAATATATAGAACCAACACGACAAGGACCACCAAAAACAAAAGTAACATAAATAAATCTAGAAAGGTACAAAAAATAGCTCACATAACATAAAAACATCACATGCAAAAGACATAAACTTGTCAGTTCTCAAATATTCCCCAACCCTATAATTTAATAACTTAAAGTTGTAAATACTTACTTTAATCGAATGATATTGCAAGATAGTACTGGAAATCAAAGTTGTTCCTGTTTTGTGCGCGCCAAATCGGACCAAACCACGAATCCTAAAGAAACCCTAAAATCGCTATTTGATGATTAGATAAAGGAAATGAGAAAAATGGTAAAAAAAAAAAAATGAGTGTTTTGTCGTTGGTATAAGGTAAAAGAACTGACCCACATAAAAAAGAGTGGGTTGGATTGGTTAAATGGGCCGAAAATTACCCAAATACAATTTCAGCCCTACTGATCCATATGGACAAATGAAAGAATGCCACATCATTAAATGAGTGGCCCACATGAAGCGCCGTTAGTCGCGGGGGTAATTTTGACAATAGAATTAACGTCCTATATATTTTCAGATGGAGGGGGGTTTTATAAACCATTTATAAATGGAATAGGGTATTTAGGTCCTTTCACGTTGTTTAAGACTAAACCTTTGAGGAACTGATCATTGTAAAACACATCCACAATTGTATCTTCAATGAATAATCACATACATTCCAACTCTAATTGCATCGATTGAACAAAAACAAAACTTCCTTAGTGCAACTTCATTTCCACTTAATTGATTCAACAGCTTGCCTTCGCTCATTACAGCAATAAGCCCCAACAAATTTAGACCTGAATTTTCTACTACCAACGTGGCATAAATGCAGATGCATAAGAGAACTATGAAAATACCTATTGTAACTGCAAATCAAGCATTGAGAGCAAGCTGTTGCTACCAAGAGCCAAAAGCACATATAAAAGGTGAAACAGAACAGGACAGCAGAAAACCAGCAATGTAATAGAGCAATAGTAACTTCATCATCATAAAACCATGATAAGTACGATTAAACACAACCAACAGAAACAAGTACTATTACAATACTGCAGATTGTCTTAGAAGCTAACAAGAAAATTACATGGTAGCATATTATAGCTATCAGAGACTACTACTTTCCAATGCCATTGTCAATGCCAAACGACCATCAACTAGAAATTGTGGGGGTTTGGCATCATACATCCAAATTAAGCCTCATTAAGATCCTCTTCATCTTCCTCATAGTACTCTCCCTCCTCATCAGCAGTAGCATCCTGATACTGCTGATACTCTGAAACCAAATCATTCATGTTACTTTCTGCCTCAGTGAATTCCATCTCGTCCATTCCTTCACCAGTGTACCAATGCAAGAAAGCCTTTCTCCTGAACATAGCAGTGAACTGCTCACTCACACGCCTAAACATCTCCTGAATGGATGTCGAGTTACCAATGAACGTAGATGCCATCTTTAGTCCCGTCGGTGGGATGTCACAGACAGTAGATTTAACATTGTTTGGTATCCACTCCACAAAGTAGGACGAGTTCTTGTTCTGCACATTGAGCATTTGCTCGTCCACCTCTTTGGTACTCATTTTACCCCTGAACATAGCAGAGGCTGTCAAGTATCTTCCGTGGCGAGGGTCAGCTGCACACATCATGTTCTTGGCATCCCACATTTGCTGGGTAAGTTCAGGAACTGTCAAGGCCCTGTATTGCTGAGAACCACGTGAAGTCAGTGGTGCAAAACCAACCATGAAGAAATGGAGCCTAGGGAACGGGATCAGATTCACAGCTAGTTTTCTAAGATCAGAGTTCAACTGCCCAGGGAAACGCAAACAACATGTGACACCAGACATTGTAGCTGATATCAAATGATTCAAATCTCCAACTGTTCAATTCAAATAGAGATAAGAAACAGTTAGACAATGAGTCACAACAGGTACCAAATCAAACTGATCAGGTAAAGAGAAATGCAATGAAGATGGTGAAATGACTTACAGCTGGGGGTTGTAAGCTTGAGGGTTCTGAAGCAGATGTCATACAAAGCTTCATTATCAAGGACCATACATTCGTCGGCATTTTCAACCAACTGATGCACCGACAAGGTAGCATTATAAGGCTCAACAACAGTGTCAGAAACCTTAGGAGACGGGAAAACTGAGAACGTAAGCATCATTCTATCGGGATATTCTTCTCTGATCTTTGATATCAGAAGCGTTCCCATTCCAGATCCCGTTCCTCCACCCAATGAATGGCACACTTGAAATCCTAAAAATCAAAATACCAAAACATCAACAAAATGCCTCAAAATGCACGGATCTACATCAAAAAACAAATTCAAACAACATGTTCGAAAATATGCCTAAGAGAAAATCCTAAAAAACAAACAGCGGAAGCATCAACAAAATCCCTCGAAATGCACAGATCTATATTAAACACATGCAACTAAATGTTTGACAAAACGCCAAAGAGAATAGTCGAAACACATACCTTGAAGGCAGTCACAGTTTTCAGCTTCCTTACGAACAACATCAAGGACAGCATCAATCAATTCAGCGCCTTCAGTGTAATGTCCTTTAGCCCAATTGTTACCAGCACCAGACTGACCAAAAACGAAGTTATCAGGCCGAAAGATCTGACCGTACGGACCAGATCTGATGCTGTCCATGGTACCAGGTTCCAGATCCATAAGAACAGCCCTAGGAACAAACCTTCCACATGTAGCCTCATTGTAATAGACATTGATTCTCTCAAGCTGGAGATCTGAATCGCCGTTGTAACGTCCGGTGGAATCAATGCCGTGTTCGGCACAAACAACTTCCCAGAACTTGGCACCGATTTGGTTGCCGCATTGTCCACCTTGAATGTGAAGGATTTCACGCATTTTTGAAACTGAGATCTGAAGAAAGATGCAGAAATTTGAAAAAATGCGTAGATCTCAGAAATGAGAGGCGGCAGAGAAGAGTGAATAAATGTAGGGACAAGGGAAAGGGTTTGTTTTTATAGTGAGGTTATAGATTTTTTGAAAAGCTTTTAGGGTTTGAAAAGAAAGGGACGGATGAGCTGTAACGGATAGTCAATTTACGGTTCAGATGTATTTTCTATTTTTAAGAAGGGTGGAGATTTATTTTTCATTCATTCAATTTTTTAGGAATGAATTTGAAATTTGAAAATTTGTGGGGAACAGCTGGACCAGGAATTTAGTAAGCGACAAGGTTAATTAAAGTGTGACGTTGATTTTTTATTCACGACTTTATCAAGGAAACTTACACAAATGTTCCTAATAAATTCAACTTATCAACCTCTAGCCATTAGTCATAGACTTACCAAAACTAGCAAATAAAAATTGAAAAATCAAATAATAGGGTTCTTTCTCTCAAAGAATCACATGCAAAAATCACCTTCCATATTTTTAAGCGTGATTAGCAACATTAGATACAAGACGGAAAGAAATTTCATGGATGGGGTAGCAAATAAGGTGATGAAATACAAAAATCTATACAATATTCCAAAAATCTAAACAAAATAGGAACTTTTTCAATGGGTATAGTTGAAATTTATTGAAATTATATGGATAAGTCAATATACAAAATTTGAGGAAGATTGGAGGTGATTTGGACTGGTTTTGTATCAAAATTCGTAATTAGATCGAGTTCAAAAAAGTCCTCTGCGACACATGTATAAAACATGTATCACGCATGTATCATACACACAGGTATACATGGATATACATGTGATACACAATTGATACAAATATGATATATATATGTGATACACAGATGATACACAATGTGATACACATATCATTTTTTTTTCATGTTCAGCTTTTACTTCGAATTTTCAATTCAAACCACCTCAAAACTTCACCAAATTATCCCAAAACTGAGATTCAAGCTCCTTAAGTTGTGCCCAATCTATTTTAATAACACCCACTCAAAACAAAGCAAAAATTTGATATTTTTTTGCTACAAATAGCTAATTGGCTAATTTGGCTAATATTAGTAATATTTTATCAATTGGCTAATTTTTGTAATGAGCAACTTATAAATGGACATAGCTGGTAATTTCCCCTTTATCAATGGGTGTCATTTGTATATTCACGAAGTCTATTTTGGGGCATTTGCATCTATACTCGCTTTTTGTGTCACATTTTAACCTGTGCCCGCTTTGCAAAAAAAATTGCAAGCGTACCCGCTTTTTCACATAACTTCAGCACACGGGGCTGAAGTAGCAAAGGCAATTACACAAAACTTCAGCATTTTAGTAGTCCGGCCTGAAGTTCAGCTCTAGAGCTGAAGTTTTTTTTTTGACTCGCGAATTTGCCAGTTATAAAATAAAAACTTCAGCTCTAGAGCTAAAGTTTTATTTTATAAGTTTTTGTTTAGTAACCGGGAAATTTCAGCTCTAGAGCTGAAGTTTGCCAGTTATAAAATAAAAAGTTCAGCTTTAGAGCTGAAGTTTTTGTTTAGTAACCCGGAAACTTCAGCTCTAGAGCTGAAGTTTTCAAGTTATAAAATAAAAACTTCAGCTCTAGAGCTGAAGTTTTCCAGTTAAAAAATAAAAACTTCAGCTCTAGGGCTGAAGTTTTTGTTTAGTAACCCGAAAACTTCAGCTCTAGAGCTGAAGTTTTCAAGTTATAAAGCTGAAGTTTTCCAGTTAAAAAATAAAAAACTTCAGCTCTAGAGCTGAAGTTTTTGTTTAGTAACCCGAAAACTTCAGCTCTAGAGCTGAAGTTTCTCAGTTATAAAGGGAAGCTGAAGTTTTTTAAAAAGTGGGTACGGATGCAAACAAAAAGACAAAGCGGCTACAGGTTAAAAAGGGGCGCCCAAATAGGGCGCCCCGTGCAATTATGACCTTTGTTTGAGTTTTGGAAACAATAAGAGCCGACATAAGAATTTTTCACTTTTTTTAAAAAAAAAGTATTTTTTTTTTCGAAATTAGTATTTGGCCATAAAATTTCTAATTTTCACCTGAAGATAAATTCTGAATTTTTTTAAAAATTTGAAAAACTCTAAAAAACTGGTTTTCAAAATTTTCACTCAGATATCTCACAATACTTCAAAAATAACCCAAAATTATTTTCAAATCCAAACACAACTCTAAGCTAGCGTTTTGCCATAGATTCTTAAATTTGTTTTAAAAATTTTGATTTGGGCGAAGTTTGGTTTGAAGATGAAAATGTATTTGGACATCAGTTTTCAAAACATATTTCACTTTTTTTTTAAAACATGAAACATGACTTATACCTACAAGTTCTAAAAACTATCACAAATACCCAATAGTACCTTCATCAATAATATTCATTAGCATTATCACAAATCATAGTCCTTAACATAAATAAATTTGGTACAAAATTATTATTTTTATAATGAATTACATAATACACTATCAGATCACCGAGAAGACAGAGCAGCATTGTTACAAAATAATAAATGGTGGGCTCTTTTATAAAATACAAAAGTTTGGGGCAATTTTTAAAAAATGTAATATAATATTTTGGGCCTCTTGAGCTGGTTTTGGGATTTTGCCAAAATATGGATAAACTTTATGAACAAACGTATATTTGCCAAAAAAAATTTGGCAAAATCTATGGCTAAACGGATCCTAATTTTCAAATGTCATTTTCACTTTAAAAAAAATCATTTTTTTTTGGAATTTTACAATTCTCATGTCCAAAAGCCCACTATTTTGAAGTTTTACTCAAAGAAATATGATTAAAAAGATATTTAGCACAAGTTGAGAGTGGCATTTGTGGTCGACAAGATAAGAGAAGCAACACTGAGATGGTTCGGGCATGTGAAAAGGAGATGCACAGATGCCATGAGAAGGTGTGAAAGGTTGGCAATTGTGGGTCCAGGCGGAGGTAGAGGTAGGTCGAAAAAGTGATGGGGAGAAGCATGACATGACACATCTTCAGTTTACCGAAGACATGACCCTAAATAGAAGGATAAATGTAGTCGAGTTTAGGACATTGTATCTTTTCGTCTTTTTCGTATCAATATTATTGTTATCATTTTCGTATTTTCTTATTCTTCAATCTCTATTACTACATGTTGTTTCCCTTCATTCGATTTTCTTATTTATTTGTTGTTATTATTGTTCTTGTCTACATTTTCAACATGGCTTCTTCATTACTATTTTCTTGTTCAAACATGCTGAGAAATGCTTTTCTTGGGTGGAGGGTTTATCAGAAACAGCCCATGCACCTCCACAAGGTAGGGATAAGGTTTATGTACACATTACCTTTCCTAGACTTCATACTGTTGGGATACTCCAATTTTTGTTTTCCTCATAAATAACATAGCATAAATTATGTGAAAATCTATGTATTTAATTACGCAAGACAAATAGGAAATAATAATTTGAGTATTAACAATATAAATTAATATACCAAAGTGACAGAAGTAATTCTCATAATAGTAAGGAAAATTTTATTTTTATTGAAAAATAAAAAAATATTTTAAATTGTATGTTATATACTAATTGTAATATATAAAATTAATTATTTAAGAATATATATAGTGTTAGTGGTGAAATGATATCATTATTTTGAACATTTCAAAATGAATCAAATTGCTGAGTCATACCATGAATGTTTGGGAGAGGGTGGTTGAAGTGAGGGTGAGAATGACGGTGTCTATATCCGATAATTAGTTCGGGTTCATGCCAGGTCGTTCTACTACAGAAGCTATACACCTTATTAGGAGATTGGTGGAACAATACAGGGAGAGGAAGAAGGATATGCACGTGGTTTTTATTGATCTGGAGAAAGCGTATGTCAAGGTTCCTAGAGAGGTTCTCTAGAGTGCTTAGAGGCAAAATGTGTGTTGGTTGCCTACATTAGGGTGATTAAGGACATGTATAATGAAGCTAAGACGGGTTAGGTCAGTAGGAGGCGACTAAAAGTATTTTCCTGTTGTTATGGGGTTACACCAAAGTTTTGCGCTCAGCCCGTTCTTATTTGCCCTGCTCATGGACGCACTAACATACCATATTCAATGGGAGCTGCCATAGTGTATGTTATTCGCTGATGACATAATTCTGATTGATGAGACGTGAGCCGGTGTTTACGTGAGGCTGGAGGTTTGGAGACATGCCTCGAGTCTAAGGGTTTCAAGCTGAGCAGGGTTAAGACAGAATACCAGGAGTACAAGTTCAGCTGAGCCGAGGGATGCGAGCGTAGATGTGAGGTTTGAATCACAGGTCATCCCAAGTAGAGGCAGTTTCAAGTACATTGGGTCGGTTATCCAGGGGGAGATCGACGAGCATGTCTCACACCGTACTGGGGTGGGGTGGATGAAGTGGAGCTTAACATCTGGAGTCACGTGTGACAAGAGAGCGCCACCGATACTAAAAGATAAGTTTTATAGAGTGGTGGTTAGACCGACCATGATGTATGGGGCTCAGTGTTGGCCTGTTAAGAACTCACATATCCAGAAGATGAAAGCAGTAGAAATGAGAATGTTGAGGTGGATGTGCGAGCACACTAGGATGGATAAGATTAGGAATGGTGATATTCGTGAAAAGGTGGGCGTGGCTCCCATTGATGGCAAGATGCGGGAACGAGACTTAGATGGTTCGACACGTATAGAGGAGAAGTCAGATGTTCGGGTAAGGAGGTGTGAGCGGCTGGCTTTGGAAGGCACGAGAAGAACTAGAGGGCGGCCTAAGAAGTATTGGGGAGAGGTGATCAGGCAGGACATGGCGAGGCTTCAGATTTTTGAGGAAATGGCCCTTGACAGGAAGTTGTGGAGGTCGAGTATTAGGGTTGTAGGCTAGGAGGTAGTTGAGTCTTTTCCTAGTTCTCTCCTCTGTGAGGCTAGTGTGATAGGATTTTTGTCTTAGACTACTAGCGATTAGTGTTGTGTCTTATTACTCTTTCGTTTTTCATAGTGCCAGGTCTATTTATTGGCTATCACTTTTGTTTTTCATTTATTTACTGGTCTTTACGCTGCTGTTATTATTCCTATTGTATCTGTTGGTTGTACC